GTGGGGACTCTTCCTGCTGTTGAGAACTATGTGGGGATTCCTGCTTCAATTTAATACAACGAATTTGGATCTCGCCCTAAACCACAGTAAACAGCAGTCGTCTCAGTGAAGTTGGAGATTTGGCAACAACAGATCAGAGAATCAAAGGAAATGTAATAAAAACAAACACATATGAGCCATTAGTCCATGAAGAACGGGATGACCACAATGTTTTCCTGCATCGGCAAGGAACCACTCAGAACGCCAGGACTGAGGCTGTAGACCCAGGACTGAGGCTGTAGACCCAGGACTGAGGCTGTAGACCCAGGACTGAGGCTGTAGACTCAGGACTGAGGGCAACTGTGGCTAAAGTCGTAGTTTAACACCAGCGCGTTGGAGTGAATGAATAATGTCATGTGGAGTTTCTAAAAGGCTGCCATACAAAGTCAATGCATTATTATTTGTTATTATCAGCATCAACATCAACATGCCTATAGTTCCATATCAGCAATGTCAACACCTGAATCAATTGTCAGCTTCTACCTTGTTGGGTCCGCAAGCCCCACCCAACGAACCATTTGTTTGGCCTCATTAAGCCCAAACCAAGAGAAATCATTAAAGACATAACAGTGTTTTTGCAGCTAATTGCCTCCATCTCCCGTCACCCATTCACACCAGTGTTTCCATCATCACACGGCATCTCAAACACTCTCAGACTCTCACCACCTCTGCGCTCCGTCAACAGATAATCACCCTTTTTGCACCCGCACCTCATGCCTTCCACCACCGCGGCCTGTTGTCTTGACATAAAGCAGGGATCGGCGTAAGATCACTGGAAATTAGAGCGGCTTTATCCATCGCACAATGCTGTTTACTGCGCACCAGCCATTAGCGCAATTACACCCTGCGCATTCGGCTTTCCATCCGCCGAACCTTTTATTAACAATATTTATCGACACCGGGAAAACAAGCAGCGGGATTGCATTAAACAGAGCGTGAACTTAATTTTCCAGTCGCAACAATTCATCCGATTCATAGCGGGCTTAATAGTATTGTTCATTTGTATTTAGGGCAGAGATGGGGAGACGAGGAGAGGGGAGAGAGGGCGTACCTGCCGAAACACCCCCAGGGCTTTAGTCTGCCTAATGAAACGACTCTATCCTCCGTGGGGTTTTTTAATCTATTTGCAAAGAGAGAGAAGAGTCGGGAAAAAAGCAATTGACAAGCTCCACAGTGGTACGTCGAGAGAGGAAAGGACAGCTGTCACTAAAGCAATTAAAATGACAAAGGTTAATTAATTCTGGGCCGTTTTTCAGCTGATATGAGACGGTTTTCATTTGCCGAGTGAATAATAGTGTTTAGAGGAGGGCAATTTATTTGTGAGGGAGAGATGTGTGTCTCGCAGAGCAGGTAATGTGGCAATATGGGACCGAGAGGGACCAGAGAGAGACTAGAGAGAGACCAGAGACCGACCAGAGAGAGACCAGAGAGAGACCAGAGAGAGACCAGAGAGAAACCAGAGAGAGGCCAGAGAGAGACCAGAGAGAGACCAGAGAGAGGCCAGCGAGAGACTAGAGAGAAACCAGAGAGAGGCCAGAGAGAGACCAGAGAGAGACCAGAGAGAGACCAGAGAGAAGCCAAAGAGAGGCCAGCGAGAGACTAGAGAGAAACCAGAGAGAGGCCAGAGAGAGACCAGAGAGAGACCAGAGAGAGACCAGAGAGAGACCAGAGAGAGACCAGAGAGAGACCAGAGGGAAGCCAGAGAGAGACCAGAGAGAGACCAGAGAGAGACCAGAGAGAGACCAGAGAGGGACCAGAGAGAGACCAGAGGTAAGCCAGAGAGAGACCAGAGAGAAATCAGAGAGAAGCCAGAGAGAGACCAGAGAGAGACCAGAGAGGGACCAGAGAGAGACCAGAGGGAAGCCAGAGAGAGACCAGAGAGAGACCAGAGAGAGACCAGAGAGAGACCAGAGAGAGACCAGAGGGAAGCCAGAGAGAGACCAGAGAGAAATCAGAGAGAAGCCAGAGAGAGGCCAGAGAGAGACCAGAGAGAGACCAGAGAGAGACCAGAGAGAGACCAGAGGGAAGCCAGAGAGAGACCAGAGAGAGACCAGAGAGAGACCAGAGAGAGACCAGAGGGAAGCCAGAGAGAGACCAGAGAGAGACCAGAGAGAGACCAGAGAGAGGCCAGAGAGAGACCAGAGAGAGACCAGAGAGAAGCCAAAGAGAGGCCAGCGAGAGACTAGAGAGAAACCAGAGAGAGGCCAGAGAGAGACCAGAGAGAGACCAGAGAGAGACCAGAGAGAGACCAGAGAGAGACCAGAGAGAGGCCAGCGAGAGACTAGAGAGAAACCAGAGAGAGTCCAGAGAGAGACCAGAGAGAGACCAGAGAGAGACCAGAGAGAAGCCAAAGAGAGGCCAGCGAGAGACTAGAGAGAAACCAGAGAGAGGCCAGAGAGAGACCAGAGAGAGACCAGAGAGAGACCAGAGAGAGACCAGAGAGAGACCAGAGAGAGACCAGAGGGAAGCCAGAGAGAGACCAGAGAGAGACCAGAGAGAGACCAGAGAGAGACCAGAGAGGGACCAGAGAGAGACCAGAGGTAAGCCAGAGAGAGACCAGAGAGAAATCAGAGAGAAGCCAGAGAGAGACCAGAGAGAGACCAGAGAGGGACCAGAGAGAGACCAGAGGGAAGCCAGAGAGAGACCAGAGAGAGACCAGAGAGAGACCAGAGAGAGACCAGAGAGAGACCAGAGGGAAGCCAGAGAGAGACCAGAGAGAAATCAGAGAGAAGCCAGAGAGAGGCCAGAGAGAGACCAGAGAGAGACCAGAGAGAGACCAGAGAGAGACCAGAGAGAGAGACCAGAGAGAGACCAGAGAGAGACCAGAGAGAGACCAGAGAGAGACCAGAGAGAGACCAGAGGGAAGCCAGAGAGAGGCCAGAGAGAGACCAAAGAGAGACCAGAGAGAGACCAGAGAGAGACCAGAGAGAGACCAGAGAGAGACCAGAGAGAGACCAGAGAGAGACCAGAGAGAGACCAGAGGGAAGCCAGAGAGAGGCCAGAGAGAGACCAAAGAGAGACCAGAGAGAGACCAGAGAGAGACCAGAGAGAGACCAGAGAGAGACCAGAGAGAGACCAGAGAGAGACCAGAGAGAGACCAGAGAGAGACCAGAGAGAGACCAGAGAGAGACCAGAGAGAGACCAGAGGGAAGCCAGAGAGAGGCCAGAGAGAGACCAGAGAGAGACCAGAGAGAGACCTGAGAGAGACCAGAGAGAGACCAGAGAGAGACCAGAGAGAGACCAGAGGGAAGCCAGAGAGAGACCAGAGAGAGACCAGAGAGAGACCAGAGAGAGGCCAGAGAGAGACCAGAGAGAGACCAGAGGGAAGCCAGAGAGAGGCCAGAGAGAGACCAGAGAGAGACCAGAGAGAGACCAGAGAGAGACCAGAGAGAGACCAGAGAGAGACCAGAGAGAGACCAGAGGGAAGCCAGAGAGAGACCAGAGAGAAATCAGAGAGAAGCCAGAGAGAGGCCAGAGAGAGACCAGAGAGAGACCAGAGAGAGACCAGAGAGAGGCCAGAGAGAGACCAGAGAGAGACCAGAGGGAAGCCAGAGAGAGGCCAGAGAGAGACCAGAGAGAGACCAGAGAGAGACCAGAGAGAGACCAGAGAGAGACCAGAGAGAGGCCAGAGAGAGACCAGAGAGAGACCAGAGGGAAGCCAGAGAGAGGCCAGAGAGAGACCAGAGAGAGACCAGAGAGAGACCAGAGAGAGACCAGAGAGAGGCCAGAGAGAGGCCAGAGAGAGACCAGAGAGAGACCAGAGAGAGACCAGAGAGAGACCAGAGAGAGGCCAGAGAGAGACCAGAGAGAGACCAGAGGGAAGCCAGAGAGAGGCCAGAGAGAAGCCAGAGGGAGACCAGAGGGAGACCAGAGGGAGACCAGAGGGAGACCAGAGAGAGAGACCAGAGAGAGAGACCAGAGGGAGACCAGAGGGAGACCAGAGGGAGACCAGAGGGAGACCAGAGAGAGACCAGAGGGAGACCAGAGGGAGACCAGAGAGAGACCAGAGGGAGACCAGAGAGAGAGACCAGAGAGAGACCAGAAAGAGACCAGAGAGAGACCAGAGGGAGACCAGAGAGAGACCAGAGAGAGACCAGAGAGAGACCAGAGGGAAGCCAGAGAGAGGCCAGAGAGAAGCCAGAGAGGCCACATGCCTGAAAGTAAAAAGTAGATGTTGCCCTTTCCAACATTGTGCATGTGTTTTTGAATGATGTCACCACTTCTAGATTCCTTTATGAAAGAATAATGTGACCATTGTTGATAGAGCCTCATCATGCTTTTCTTTGTCAAGAAGACTGGGCCGACTTGCATGAACTGCACATCTCCCCAGTGCGGCTCAATGCTGTCATCATTTGAAAGTAGAAATACATTTATTTGACCAAAAATGGTGTTATATACATGAAATACATCCCCACGCTGACACAAAGAACATAGTGAATAACTTTCATCACCTATTTAATTATCAGTCATTTAATGTATTAACATTTTTATTAATCTTTGATTTGTTTTATATTAATCCTTATTGTGTTCTCTATTTCTCATAATCCATCCATCCATCCATTTTCTTCCGCTTCATCCGTTGCCGGGTGGCGGGGGCAGCAGTCTAAGCAGAGTTGCCCAGACTTCCCTATCCACACACACTTCCTCCAGCTCGTCCGGGGGGACCCCAAGGCGTTCCCAGGCCAGCTGAGAGACATAGTCCCTCTGTGTCCTGGGTCTTCCCAGGGGCCTCCTCCCGGTGGGACGTGCCCGGAACACCTCCCCAGGGAGGCGTCCAGGAGGCATCCTGAACAGATGCCTGAGCCACCTCAACTGGTTCCTCTCGACGTAGAGAAGTAGCGGCTCTACTCCGAGCTCCTCCCGTGTGACTGAGCTCCTCACCCTATCTCTAAGGGAGCAGCCACTCTGCGGAGGAAGCTCATTTCGACCGCTTGTATCCGCGATCTTGTTCTTTCGGTCAT